AGTAAAAACAAACAAAATAAATAAATAAATATAATAAAAAAATAAAAAAAATAAAAGAAAAAACAAATAAAAAAAAAAAAAAAAAACATACTGTATATAAAAATAAATAGAAAAAAGAAAATAAAAAAAAAAAACAAAAAAAATAGTAGAAAATTCTGTCTTCTAGATCTGACTATAGTACTGTTATTACTTATGCTAAGCTAAAAAAATTATATAACAAATATATCTCTGCTATAAAGCTTTGCTTTATTATTTAATTTTTCAACTAGGTTATTCAGACTCTAAAATGTCATATACTGCCAAAATTAATATTACATAAAGCAGCATAGCCTATAAACAAAACAAACTAAACATGTGATCACAATCTGCCAGAACTGTTTAGATTTGAAAGATATAAACAATGTTAATCTTTTGGAAAGAGTAAGCTGTTTTGCTTACTTTTATAAGAATTTTTTTTTTTTTTTTGGTATTAAGGTGACCTCTTTGGTCTGGGGAACTTTTTATTAGAGTATAGACAAAGTTTTATATGTAATTACAACGATGGTACATCAAGCCACACGTGCACCTTTTGAGTGCCTATTTAAGTAGTCCACCCAAAGATTCTACACTATCTGCCGTACCTGCATCCTAACTAGGGAGGTACCCAACTTTTATAAGAATTTTAAAAGAGTAGCAGAAGTGTAGAGAAAAGAGTTGTCTTGTTTAATAAAAGAGTGTGTGTTTTCTTTATTAAATGCAACAGTAATCTATAATATCCTTATATTTAAAAGCAAGAAGATACAAATATTCTCTTTTTTGGTAAATGATAAACTCTAGGCTTGTTGGCAAATAGTATATAAGAACTATTTCTAAACAATAAGTGTTATTTCTCATAATAAATAATAAACTCTGAAGAAGTTAGCAAGTAGTATGAGAACTATCTTTAAATAACAACTGCTAGCTTATAAACTTGTTTTCTAGCTGTTTTTAACTTCTATAAATACTTATATTTTTCTAATAGGAGTTTTAGATTTTTGAAAAAGTAATCCTCAAAAAGAGTGTATATTTTTTTATAATTAGTTTGTATTATTTAATTTCTTGTTTATATTAGTCTATATATACAATTATTATTTAAATTATGCAGATTAATATAACTAATTTATAAAATATGAGTATTAAATAGAGATGTAGTGATTTAATTTAGTAGTTTAGTTGTTACCCTCTTCAAGCAGCAAGTTTAAAATTCAAATTCTATAAATAATGATTTTAAAAAATAGGTTTGTAATAATTAGTTGAATTTAGAAACTTGTAATTTTGGCTTTGGTTTATAAATAAATTCAAAAAACTAGAATAACTGAAAACCTGTTTAGAAAATTCTGAGTTAGAATCTTTGGCAGTATTACAAGAAGGCTAAATTCAAACTAAAAACTGAAATTAGAGAACTGAATAACAAGTTCTTTAAGTAGAAGAATATATTAGCTAAACTGCCAGATTTAAACATACTAAAGAAAAAAATATATATGCTCTGAAAATATATACCAAAAGGAGAAAAACTATGAAACATCTAAAGCCTAAACAGATCAACTCTTCAGGGTTGTTAGCTAAAAATAAAAGAGAAACTAATAAAAAATCTGAGTAAAAGGACAATTCAAATATGAGTATTGAGATTGTTGTGAACTTTACAAGAGCAAGAAATAAATAATAAATAACTAATTAAAAAAGTTATAGCTTGAGATATAAATTAGATTATAGCAGCATTCTAAAAGATACAGTAGTTTGAAATACAAACTTGGTGATAGCAGTATAACAAATACTAGTTAGTTAAAAAAAAGTTACCAAATATGCAGATAAATTTATATGTGAGATATAGATTATTCTGTTAAATTTACTTTATAAATATACTAGCTTAGGTTAGTAAATTCTAAGATAAGTGTGAAATTTATAGATATTGCAAAATTCTATATGTAAATAGATAAGTTATATTTTGATTAGAGATTGCTCTTTGGTTAGAAATTAGGTTATAGTTAAAGGGTTTAAATAGATACTTCACAGTTGAGATTCAGATACAACAAATAGTATAAAACTTTTGGGTAAACTATTTAAATTAAACATGTATAGCTTAATATACTCTTACTACAGTATAACTGAAACTACTTCTAGTAAAAAGTTTTTAGGCTATATCAAATTGGTAAAAAGTAACTAAACAATAACCTTTTTTTGATTACAATGATTATCTTTTTTTTTTTTAAGTGATCTTGCTTTCATTTATTTTATAAATTACTAAAAGAAGTCTATATAATTGTATTATATATCTAAATAGCATGTTGTTTTATTCTAATAGAAACTCACAAGCCAAAGCTCAATGCAACCTGCTATAACAACTGTTAGTCTCTTTTAGAATTCAAAACTTGCTTTAAATATAGCAATAATAAAGTTGCCCTCTTAATCATTGACAGGCTGTTGCTTACCGTATCAGAATCTCTTTTTTCCCTTCTAATTCTTCCTTTTTTTCAAAGAGTATGAGACAAAAAGATAAATTTTTTAACAAAGATTTATGAAAATAACCAAAAAAAAAAGAAAAAACAGAAAAAAAAAAAAAAGAAAAAATATAAAAGAAATCTAAAACTTTAAAGACACTATTATAACTTGTGTCAAACCAATAAATTTATATAACAAATACAACATTTATATATAGTCAGACCTCTCTAAATGCACATTGTTGGAACCAGCTCTAGAGTGTGTATTTATAGAGGATTGCAATTAGAGAACACTATTAAAATCACAATATGCTATTATCATGTGATAAATATGGCTTTAGTAGCCTAGAAATAACAGATTTGATTGGCTTATAATTATGTGAATACACTTATAAAGAGAGTTTTTATAAGTGGGCCAGACAATTAGCATGCACTTACAGAATAAAAAACATATATTTATCTATAAGTCCTGCCATGGGCCCGAGCTTATATCATGCATTTAGAGGGGTGCTGCATTTAGGAAGGGTGTATTTAGGGGAGTTTGACTGTATCTTTACTGTAAAGCTTTGCCTTAATATTAAATTTACTTTTTGATTTTTCTAACAACTCCAAATAGCTTCATTGCTCATTCTAATTAGTATCTCGAGCCAGATGCTATTGCTATTTGAGAACCTGTGTCTCAAGCTATTTGCTGCTGTAATTAGAGTTCCCAGACTAAATTCTATAAAGTAGTAATATATTTGTCTATAAACAAACACATAGTTGCATTTTGCTAATCTGTCTGAATTTAGGAAATAAACTAAGAGTAAAAGAAAGACCACTTGGCCAAGTAAAAGAATATAGCTTGAAGAAAAGCAAAGTCTTGTTGTTTTTACTGAGTTCTTTCTCTAAATAACTTCATGGAGAAAACTGTTGTCTTTTTACCAAAATTTTGTATCCAAAAGCATACATCTCTTGTCAGTTATCTTGTATACTAATGCTTTTGACTTGCATATTAAATGCATAACTTATAAAGGAGTTCTGAAAAAAAAAACTATGAACCTCTAGGCAAACCACTATGTTAGGCTACACCTCTCTAACAAAAGTTCTGTTTTTCTTTAGTGAGAATTTTGGTCCAAATAATCATCAGGAAGAGTTAACTGTGATTATTATTTTAACATTGCAATAAATTAAAAATTACTACAATTTTTATTAATATTAATTAATTGCAATGATTTGTTAAAATGATAACTAAGTAAGGTCACTGTTCAGTTACTTTTCACCAACCTGGTAGAGGTCACCTTAACACCAAAAAAAAAAACATGGGGTAGATATCCTTAATTTAATCTCTGTTCTAGTATATAAAAGAGATAGAGTATTTATTGTAAACAGGAGAGGTATTGTGGTCAAATAAAAATATCTTGTGATTTAGTGATCAGAATTAAATCATTTGATTTATCTCTTTGAGATGAATCAAATGGCGCAAAAATCATTTAATTCTGATCACTAGATCATGAGATATTCTTACTTGACCACAATACCCCCATCTTCCTTATATTGTAAGATTAGTATTAAAAAATTATATTAAATTGGTTTGATATGTTTTTTAAAAGAAATTTTATACTCTATACCAGTGTTGTCAATTGGACAGTTTTTAACAGTTTTAATAGTTTTGGACAGGGTTTTGGACATATAAAAACTTGTCCAAAACTGTCCAATTGACAACACTGCTCTATACTATATCATGTCAGATAATAATAAACCTTTGTCATTTATTTTGTCATTTATAATGTTATTTATAAAAATAATTTGGACTATGTTCTGATATTGTTCACCAAGTGACAATATATATCTGCAACTAGTGATACAAATTGCCAAAAATTTTGCAATCGATTAGTTGTCAACTTTTTCGATTATTCGATTTTTATTCGATAGTTTGCCAAAAATTTTTCGATTAGTTGCGATTTTCGATTTGTAACACTATTTGCAACTAATAAAACGCTAACCCTAATACTAACCCTACTGCAGCAGCAGTTTACGGTATTTAAAAATATCGCCGATAAAATTTTTTTTATTATAAAAAATGCTTTGTTTGAATCTTCGTGATGGTATCACGTTACGCCAAATTACAATTAATTATTGGCTAGTTTTCTGTTGATCGTCGCGTGAAAGTAACATAACTAACTTAGTGATTATATAGAGAGCACAATAAAAGAGGCATGCCTCGAGCCCTCTTAAGCATGCCCCAAAATTTTTTGTGTTCCCAACCCTAAATCAGATCGATGACAGATATATTTAGATAACGGTACTGTTCCCGGAACAAATTGGCCAGCTTCTTAATTATCGGTATTTGAATCAAAATTTTGGGGCAAACCCTTGGCTATCACTGTGATAATTTAAATGAGAAAGGTTAACTCATATGACAACCAACGAAGATTATTAAATATTGATACCTGTCGTATATAAGTTAAAATTTAAACCGTCACGAATTTGTTTCTCCGCTTTTAGTCTTATTGCCAAGATAGTTTACAGCTATTAATTTTTCTTACTCATTGTCTATGAGCAATGTCCTTCCAAACGAACTCTGAGAGTGTACTCAGATACTCAGCTGAACAAATGCAACACGATGGTCTTCTTAACGAACAAGAAAACGTATGTACTCCCCAGTCGAGTTTATAAAGAATTGCGTCATTGTGACAAAAATTACGAAAATTACTTACTGATCCAGTCTTGTCTAAAGCTGTCAGACTTTTTGAACTTTGTGTAATCATATACATAATATACTCATTACATGCCACTTCTAAAATCGATCAGAAACTTCTTGCTGATTTCTTTAACACGCTTGCAACCGAAGAGCCTCCGAGCAATATGATGGACCTCACGCCAGCTCCAGTTCCGTTCTCAGGTAACTTATTTCATTATTTGTAGTGACTTATCACGTATTGGAGGGTTCATAAGTAATCAATATATTCTAAAAAAAATAATTGAAATCAAAGATGCGGGGTCTCAATCATCTGTACCGACGTCTAGAGGGTTTCCACCAGGATTTGGTCAAAATTTTGAATCAGGCACTGGATATCCCGGGTATATATATCAACATGTCGCCTCTGATCCTATCACCATACCAGCCAATAACGGCTACTCACAGCCTCCGAATCTTCAACAAGCTCTCCGTGTTCATAATACCTTTGTACAACCCTCATATCCTTTATCTCATCAGATACAAACTTTGAGTAATGGGGTAATGCATAGTGTTGGAAAATCCAAATCAGTCACCAGCAATCAATCATCCCCATTATACATCAAAACAGAGCCTATCAACATAAATCGAAGACAACGTTCTCCTTCACCACAGTCAAGTTCGATTTCCAAACAGCCTTTAAAACGAACTCCTTCTCGACGAAAATCAATCAAAAATGACTCAACTGCGATATCATTAGAAGCAAAGCAGGAAGAAGGCAGCAATTCAGCATCGTCGACAACACACTCACAGGCATTGTCTTCAGCATCAGGAATAAATGGTGCATCAACTTCTTCAGCACCTGGATCTCCGAAGATATTATTAACGCCTGAATCGAATAATAGTCAACCTCCATCAACACCAGCACCAAACCGAAGAGGAAAGAAAGGGCATCACGAACTTTTAACCGAAGCCGAGAAAAAGGCAAATCACATTGCATCAGAACAAAAAAGGAGACAAAACATACGTCTAGGTTTCGATCAGTTAGTTGAAATTGTGCCGACTCTTAGTCAATGCCATAGGAGTGAGGCATTGATCTTACAAAAATGTAAACTTTTTTTTGGTTGATAATTTAAAACCATAATACTAGAAGATGCGCTATATTCGATTTATATATCTCTGTTTTTTATTTATTAATTTGATTTTAGCTGTGGAGTATATCCAACAACTTCTAATGCAAAAGAACGAATTGAAAGAACGAGTTAAATCTTTACAGGCTACGCTTGGTGATGCGTAAGTTTTATTTATCGCATTTTTATATATTGAAAAAAATATATATATATAACGATTTTGTCAACACATAAATCATTATGTCCAATATACTATTTAGTCCTGATCATCTGGATGACTCGGTGAGTAAATGACAATGTGATGAAGCAGGATGAAATTTTTATCAATAATACCTCATCTGTTTCTTTTTAGTCTTCCGATGGGGAACTTGACCTAATTTTCTGACTAGTGCGAGAAAAACGAAGAAAAACCGCGTTTTGATTTTGCAAGATCTATTTCTAAGTCCAGTTGCAATTTTTTATTCTTGTAAAATAATTTTAAATTTGTTTTAGAGTGCTAGGGAAAGATTACACACTGGTGTCTAGTTATACAACTTCGTTTTTTTTATTTACTTGATTACATATATGACAGTGATGGCACCAAATCCATATATTTAAATCCTATTTTATTTTCTTATGTTTCTATTTTGGAAATATATAAAAGGAATATTTTTATACAATAGAAAATTGCCAATTTTTTTTTTCCATTAAAGTTAGAAATGTTTGATTAAAAACCATCCGACTGATAAATTGTTGACGAATCTGATATCCTCAAGTCGGACAAGTTAAATTTAGGGTCAGGGTTGGTTTGAGACTAGAGTTTAGGGTTAGAGGTTAGGACTAGTGATCTAAATTGGTTAATCAATTAGTTGTCAACTTATAGTCACATGTTTAATGAGAGGAATGACTTATCTCCTTATTGGTATCCATCAAGCAAAAAAATGCATTATTGATGTAAATGAATGTTATTTGTTGTTGAGTGGGTATTCCCAAATTACGAGCTTCGAAAATGTCCGAAAGGTACAGGGCAAATTATATACAGTATAGGAAAAAATCTTTAATTATTACGTATAAAATTACTTCGTATCCATCGTATAATTGAATAATTCTGTACACCCACGCTCACCCCAAAAATTTTCTTTGCACGTGATATAATCATCCGGATTAATAGTTGGTAGCTCTTCCACAAAAAATCCCCTCGTGATTTTATCCCATTATCGTATGTTAGGGTTAGGGTTATGTTAGGTTATGTTAGGTGAGAGATTTATTGATTGTTTTATGGGAGATCTACAGGCGTTATCCGGATTATATAAGGGAGCGCTAGGGTTGTATAACTTACTGTAAGTTATTTTTAAAATGTAAGTTACATTTTAAGTTATGTAAGTTACCATGTGAGGTAAGTTATGTATATATATAATAATAATAAAAATTTCATTCTTTAATAACCTTAATGCTGGCTAAATTTATTCTGGTCGGCATTAATACAAATCCGGCCTGCTTTACTATGATATATTTTGTAACTTACATAGATAACTTACAATGTAAGTTACATTGTTAGGTAAGTTATTACGACTCTAGAGAGCACCAGAAATCAGCTGATTTTCTAGGAAGTTAAAATTATATATAAAAACCTGACTAAAAGAAAGCCTGAATAAAATTAGCTAATTTATAGCACTGCTCTAATTTTTTTTATAATTTGGCAGTCTTGCCTTTACTGTTTATTAGTACTCTAAGGTATTGTGGTTACAAATATACATATATATATTTACAACTATCTAATTTATTACAGATAAGGCTTATCTATATGTGATCTGCTATATGAGATTTTATCTCCTTATCAATTATTTTGTAACAGGCCAGTTTTTAAACTCACTGGATGGTTTTCAAACCTATTTTATCATATATATCCCACTTATATACTACTGTACAACGTCTACCAGCTAACTTCTACCTCTTATTACTTATTATATTATTTCTAATTTGCTTCTTGTACTACTTCCAAATTGGTGTCTCTTGAATAGGCACTCTTGATACTTCCAATTTGGTGTCCTTGGGATGTTATTCTAAGGGTCTAGTTCATATCTCAAGCCAGATACAGGACCTGCTGCCGCAACTAGAATATTATTTCATGATCTTTAAGCATTAACGTCATACACTACCAAATTAGGCTACTGATCCTTCTATAGTACTCTCTATTAATATGGTGATACAGGAGTTTGGATCCTTAAAATGGGAGTTAAGTATCTTATTTAATTACTGTTACAATTCAGTAACCTAGGACCCACATCTCTGCTGTATTTTGTTATAGACTCCTATATAGGTTGTATGACTATTACTCTCTAGCCTGTCTTTATTTTTATACCACCAGATCGCCTGCTTCTATACTTTTTGGGATTAGTTTTTCTTGTTTCCTCATGCCAGAAGTGTTCTATATTTAGTAAAGCTATTCTTTTATCACAGCCTCTTACTATGTTCACTGCTTCTCTCACTACTTCTGAATATACTGCATTTAGTCATCTTTCCAATCAAGATCCCAATACCACTTTAGGGTTGTTAGTGCTACCTTGCTAATCATGGATTCATACACACAGCCTTTTGCAGTATTACCTTTCATAACTCATGTCACATACAGTGCCCAGTCTTCTCCATAGCTTGGGGCTTCTTTCAAGAATTTTTTATTAGCCAAATATATACATCACATAGTCTTACCACTACAAGGTTTCGTATTTGAAAGCTTCTAAAGGTTACAGAGATAATTAATTAAATTAATTACTACTAGCTATAATCAAATTATTGACCTTGTCTGTGGAGGGTTAGGTGTCTAGACCACTAGGCTATGAGACCCTAACCTCTTAGCACTGCTCTAATATAATTAAAATTTATTTATTATAAATATGATTTTGTATATACTATATATATTTTTTAGATTTTTCTAAGTTTTGAATATAAAATTTTTAACATAAAATTTTTATATTAGTATTTAGTTAAAGTTTAAAAAAGTTTTTAGTACTAAGGTTAGACCAATTTGATTCTCTGTTTAACATAATCCTCTTACTTTTATTTTTTAAAATTTTGTATAAAAAAAACATATAATATTAGCCAATCAAATTATAGTATTAACTTATTGCATTTTTACATTTTTTACAGCCAATAAAATTACTGTATTTTTTATATTTGTGTTTTTTTAATATTTTTCTTCTACCATTATAAGCTACTTTTATATTATATTAAACAGAAAATTAGAATGCTTTATAAAATAAGTAGGCAAACTCTGAAAACTCTGCAACTTCACTAAATATCTATTAATGATTACTAATTATTAGTGAAGTTTTATTTTTATATTGCTCACTTATTCTATAGAATATTTGAAAATTAAATTGGTGTAGCCTAATTACTAGAAAACAGTCTTTTTTTTTTTTTTTTTTTAGCTAAGTATCTGGAGTTTAGAGTTTATTAGCATTTTAACTATTGATAGTTATATAGACCTTATTACAAGTTGTGTTCATAGTGAGAGTACAACTAGCTATTATACTTTTGGCATTGTATACACTAGATGCCTATCTTTGCAACCCAAACTAGGATTACTTATTTAAACTCTCTGGCCAATTCCACTTGCTAGTAATTTTATTACCCTAGTATCTTTATATTCAAACTTGCCACTAATTCCTTGATTATATTTTTGGTCTTATCTAGATAGGCATATATCTACTCCAACCTTTTTATAGTTTATATATTTTCAGATCAGATATTAGAGATATTATACTTTTAAACCTAAGTTAGTACTTGAATATACCTCTATATATCTCTGTCTTTAATGGGTTCACAACTAACCCAATACTAATTTCCTTTCTAACATATGATTTTGGCTCTGAAAATGTCTTTACTACCAATTCAGTTAGCTCAGAAGAGTTGGTTTGTCTAGGCTTTAAGTGCTACATGATACTTTCCTCTTGATACACACTTCTAGAGCATATGTTTTTTTTTTTGGTGCAACTCCAGTGACCAGGTTGGTGTGACTCTGAACTTATAAGAGCAAGCTACAACCAATTTAAAAAAAAACTTGTAATTATAAAAATTGCAAATTTATATGTGAAATTTGCATGTGTACTTCAGATTTTGGTTGTAGAAATTTAAAATTTTGTCGCAGTCTGCAGACTTCACAACCCAATTTCAAACACTATATAAAGGTCATGATTCTTGGGCCTCTAGTTGGGTTTTTAATATAGTTTTCTATTCTGTAGTATCATTGAAGATTAGCTACTACTCCTAATTCAGGTTTTCCCAAGTAGATAATGATCTTGAACTTATCAAGTATTTGCATTACCCTAAGCTGGTTTGCATTCCTTTATAATTTTAAAGTTTCTTCAAGTAATATAAATACTAGCAAATCTTTTAGAAATATATCCTAGTATGATTCAAGCTACAGATTTCTATAATTTAATAATCAGTACTCTGGTTACTATAATACAAGCTATTTTCAAAAATACTGTCTATGAGATTTGAACTTTAAACCTGCTGCTTGGTGGAGTAATGCCTTAGACTACTTTACTAAGTTGCCATATGGGGTGGAGTCAATAGAAAAGTGACAAATTTTTTCTAAGTAAAAGTTTTCTTGACTTTAAACTTAAATATCTCAGCAATTATCTTATCAAATTTAATAATTGTTTTTTTATTTTAATTCTTTATAATTTCAAAATTAAAACAAAAAAATTTTGAGCAAATTTGATTAATTAGTTGTTGAGATATTTTAATTTAAAAATTAAAAAAAATTCACTAAAAACAATTTGTCCCTTTTCTATTGACTCCACCCCATATCTTTAAAATAGGCATTGTTAAAAGTTTTAAAAGTTTGAAATATAATAAAAAAATTTTATTGTATAACAACTTTTACTATATATATATAGGCTGTGTTCTACAAAAAAAAAGAAAATTGATATTTAGATTTGATTAAAAATTATATTTTTGTAAATCAAAACAATACTTGGTAACAAGTAATATAGATTTATTTTTTAGAATATTATTTATTATGTGCTATATAATATAAACAATTATATAATACATATAATTTTTTAATTTTTCACTATATAAAAATTATATCACACTAATTGTCGAGAATCACCATAAAAAGAAACGATGATGCATCTGTTACCTCTGAGCCTCATGATGCCCTCCAACTATACTGACTACTAGAAGCATTTGCGAATTATGCCTGGGTAGCCTCATTACCATATTGGGAAGTACAGTCATTAGCACAAACCTAATTGGATACGTTAAGACCTGGGTCCCGAAAGTTGCAGAAAATCCAGCTAGTTGCACAGCATGCAGGCTTGAGATACTTACCCATTCGGGTAGAGGCAGCTGAATGGCTTGAGATACGAACTCCTAGAAAGTACGCTAAGTAAGAAT